ACCCAAAGCCTGCTATTGACTAAGGGTGACAAATAATTATCGATTTTTCGGTATTTTTAAAAATTTGCAGTGTTCGTTACACATTTCTCTCACGTGCGATGACGACCTGGTGTGCCAGCGTCGAAAATTTACGATAAAGTTCGTTTACATTTCCCAAAGAATCTTTTCTATCAAATAATAAACAGCCTCATGGTTAGCGATGCATGATTCGTTTAAGGCCTTTCATTACACGAGAACCAAGTCGCCGTGTATGCGACTCGGGAGTTTTAGCGCATAAATTTTTCGGAATCAATCTCATCAATAAAAAGTCTTCGACGGCTCAGACAAGGTGATCTTTTTTAGGATCATCTCACGAGACGGAACTGTGTTTGCAAAGGCGAAGAAGGGGCTGCCACTGGGACGGCATTTTTATGCGTCCGAGCATTCGATTTTTTATAAGAGGTCATCTTCAGAGACAATTAATTCGCGACGACAATTTACATACTTTTGTACTTAAGCTACAAGAAAATGGAGATATAGGGGAGGGAGTTGCATTCATAGAGAGGTTGAGTCCACGCTGCCGTTACAGGGTCGTCATGGCGTGCTTCTTCGGCGGGGAATTGGGTCGCTTTTCTTGGCCGCGCGACAGAAGTGCGTGATAGCAGTGTGGGAGAGGGAATATGATCATGTCTGGTGATGGAGTTGGAGTCAGCTACCCAGGCCCCCAGTAGTTCTCGCCCCATTCTATAACTGGCCCGCTGCGTTATCCACATATCCAGGAAGTTAAATTCGTGGCCTTCCTCCAGGGTGTGTGCAGCGACCTGAGACAATGGGCTGCCGCAATACTTGTTTGGGTTCCATTATTCTCGAGCTAATTCGTTGGCTGATGTGCCCTCTACAATAGCGAGAATAGTCGCAATATGGTATTTGATAAACGAAATCAGATTGTTCACCTGCGCCAAGGGGCGTCGCCCAGTTCCCGACCAAGGACACACGCCGTGAAACTGAATGAACTCAACCTTAGCACGAATGCAACTCCCAACCCCACCCTTTCTTCTCTGAGATGAACTACAGAAGCAGTTCAATTTTTGCTGCACACACTGTTCCTGAAGATAACCTCTTGTACAAAGGCTAAAGCTCAGACCAAATGAAAATGCTGTCCTTGTGATCGTGCGTTCACCTTTTTTTGCGACAAGAACCTGGGATTCATATATTCGCTTCCATTTGTAAGAACCTCATTTTTTCGTCCTTCATTTGTAGTGGAAACACCCTCGGGTACAACTGTGCTGACCTTTGACGATCTGGTTTCTGGTAAGGAGAGTTCGCTCCTCGAAGGTGA